ATTTTACCAAATGCAACATTAGCATTCCTTGAAAATTTTATAAAATTGACAATCATTTTAAAGTCTGTAACTATTTTTTCCTCAGTTCTGAAACACTGTACTGAAGCTAAATATAAAACACTTTGATTAATTTGGTTCTCATTTGGAAGACATTTAAAGAAAATAATAATGCTCTGAAATCCCTTACAATTGAAATTTCAAGATGTTTCTCTCCACCATCAAAAACATCCAAAATAGTTGCTGCCAACTAATCCTTTTGCCATCAGTTTTACTAACCTTGGTTAATAGAACTGAAATTATAAGAGAATGTGCAGCTACATGGACTTGTAAAATTCAGAACATGACAAAATTCAATCTAAGTGAAGAATGTTCAGAGATTAGAATCGGGCCAAGATGTTCAAAATCTGCATGTGAACCTTTCTTGTGGCTATAGGGAAAGTTTTAAAGGGCCTTATTCCTTCACTGACTTCTCAGAAGAGCAGAGAGCAGCAGTTGGTGACACCAGGGTTTGCATTCATCTGAGCTCATCAGCTGTTTCTGGTTGTGTGTTATTTCCACTCTGACACACACACACACACACACACACACACACACACACACACAGCCAGCCTATCTATGCCTTGGTCAGTACACATAAACCTTCAGCCCTAGATTGAGTTTATAGTGTCAACAACCTTAAGTCAGAGCCTAAGGACCATTTTCATTCTCAGGCAGAACTGCTTGTAGCCATACTCAGCTTTTGTCTTTAAAACTCAATGGTCAGATACTATTTATAAAGTCCTAGAATTTCATTCAACTGTAAAGCCATAAGATGGGGGCTTTCAAAATGAAATATTCCATTCTATTTTGACTTTTATGACATTCCTTATTTTTTCTATGTAGAATTTTAATTCCTACATACATCAAAGGCCATATGCTTTCTAACTCCAGAGCACATTTAAAATCCCTTAATTTATATTCTTTAGAATATACATTCATTATCTCCCTCCCTCCCTCCCATTCTTCTTCCCTCCTACCTCTCTCCTTCTCTCCCTCCCTCCCTCTCTCCCTCCATCCCTTCCCCTCTCTAATTTCTAAAATGAGGATCACAATGTCTGGTCTCAAATCTAACACCACTGTATTTCCTACATAATTTTAGACAAATCAATTCATTATTTTCAGTAGCTGTAAGATGAAACCTAAGTTCTCTTCCTTGCCAAATTTATAAGCTTTTATGTGAGTATGAAATGAGGAGGCAAAGTCATTCATTTGGTATTTATTCAGCCTTTAATATCTGTCAGGAGCTGTTTATCAGATTCTGGGATATATTTATGAAGAGGACAAATAAGGTCCCTACCCTTGTGCACTGGCATTGGGGTTGGGAAGACAGTTAGTAGGTGAAGAAGCAAAGTCAGGGTTACACCTTGTGGTAGGTGCTTTGAGGAAAGTGATGGAAAATGACAGCAACGGTGATACTTAGGGCTGTCAGGAAACTCCTCTGAGGAAGTGACATTGAGAAAGTGGCACTTGAGGTCATAATATGTGAGAGGAAGCTTGCCGAGTACTGAACCATGAAAGTGCATTATCAGCTGTGGGATGTTACCTCCGTGAGCAGTAGCCCCCGCTGGTCCCCTGTGCAGTAGGGAAGTTAGAAAGCAACAACAGATTTTAGATTGTCCGATTTCTGGAGCTATAACTGTACAGTGATCTCTGTACTTTCTTATGAACCTCCATTTTTTCATCCAAATCATTCATATCTTCCTCCTCTTCTGTTTCTGGTTTGTGCTAGCTTAACCTGGGGACTTGTCACTGTCCTCTGTCTGTGACACTTCCTTGCTCAGGCTGCTCTAAGTCCTCCCTATCACCGTTCCTATACGTCCTTCTGCTCCAAAACTCCCTGCAACTGAGTTCTCTTTCTAATGACTCTATAATTCTAAAACCTTCTCGAAGGTTTCCGAGGTTGCCTCACTTATGGCAAAACTACCTATCCTTCATAATATAAGCAACTGGCTGGCACAGTGCCTAGCACATAGTAAGTTCTAAATAAATATTTATTAAATAATGAGTGAATGACTGATTCTCTTCATCTTACTCAGTCTACCTATAGGATTAAAGGGTTTTTTCTTAATTACATGTATATTCTTTTCTCACATGTAAAATGCATGAAAAACCTTTATCTTCAGCTATATAGAATAACAAAATCTTACTCCTCATGCACAAGGTATTTTAACTTTAAATCTCCCTCTATTTGCTGTACAGGTGGAATTTTGTCATTGATCCTAGAGATACCTAGAGATACTGACAGTGTCCCTAAGATTTTTTTATAGTGTTCAGCACACAGTGTATGGCACAGCACAGAGCATTTAGTATGATAACAATCCCTAAGATTTCAGTCGTTTGGGCTTTTATTTTAGCATCCTGAATAATCAGATATATCCATTTAGATTAAGCAGAAATTTTCTATGGAAAAATCTTTGTATTGAGGAAGTTGTCATAGTTTCAGTTAAACAGCAACTAAAAACAGTGTTTCTTTTAAAGCAGTTTTTCAACTATGTTCAGAGTTTTGTTTTCACATTATATAGTACTAGAGGCTCAGTGCACGAATCCGTGCACGGGTGGGGTCTGTCTGACCTGCCCCAATCAGGCCAATCAGGCTGGGTGGGCTGGGGAGGGAGAGGCCGTGGGTGGTTGGCGGGCCGGCCCTGCCCCTGATCAGGGGGAGAGGGGCCACCATGGGTGGGCCCGGCTGGGGGGAGGGGCTGCGGCTAGTTAGCCAGCCAGCCCCAACCCCTGGTCAAACTCCTGGTCAAGGGGACAGTTTGCATATTAGCCTTTTATTATATAGGATTATTGTTCATTAATGGCAATAATAATTTAGTCTCGAAAACTTTGAGATTTGTCAAAAACAAATGGAATATTCACTTTTCATAGGTATAGAGGTATGTTTAGAATAGGGTTGGGGAACCTATTTTCTGACAAGGCCCATTTGGATATTTATAACATCCTTCTCAGGTCATACAGAATAATCAGCTTAAAAATGAGCCTGCTATATTTGGTCAAACATTTAATTAACTCACCCCTAATGCCTGGGCAGGGCCAGACCAAATGATTTTGCAGGCCTTATGACGCCCATGGGCCGGATGTTCCCCACCCCTGGCTTTAGAATCATCACTGCCAACTTGTTTCCAGAATTGCATCTTAAGTGTTAAAGTATTTATTTCAGAGAAATAAAAATCTTATATTACATCAATTAGATATAACTTATAAACGATCCCTTAGTTTTAGGCATTCTCTGTTTATAACTCTAAAATTTTTAAATAATATCAAAATATAGTCTCATTGATTTTTGTTGTTGCTTGTACTGTATACTTTAATTCAAGAAATTTTATGTAACTTTCACTCTGAATGTTTTATTTTGACTAATATAAGGTTCTGAGCCATGTGATCAGGACCGACTTTAGAACAACAGTTCAGTGTTTATGGTTTTATGCTTCTTTCCCTGTGGGATGTACCTATAAAGTAATGAATGGGACAGTCTTCCTAACAAACATACTAGGAGCCAAGTATCAGAGAGGCCCTTGTCCCCTTCAAATCAGTCACCTCGAAGGCTACACTGTTCCAGTAACACTGTTATAACATAATAGTGTTACAAAATAGTAAAGACTATGCTAAGAAATAATGAAGACTAAAATGACATTATTCTGAATAGATCGTAGATTGTGACAGATGAATTTGATCTTGGTGAGTAGTCAGAAATCATCCCAGCACCAACTGCAGTGAATGAAATTTGGAGGCCTGTTTGGAGTTACAACTGGATGTAAAAATAATAAGATGGGCTTTCTTGAATAATACATAAACTAACTCTTGAAAGTGTCAAAGAGAAATTCCATAACTTTGGACCTTGGAATAAATATATAAACTCCCAAGGTAGCTACTATAAGAACAGTACATGTTTAGGTTAAAAAAATGTGTATGTTTGCAAAATAAGATCAGTTTTATTACTTTATAGACATACCTTATAGATGAAAAAAATACTTCTATCATGGAACTCTTTATAAGCAAACTTCCGAATGTAAGTAGAATTTCTGTCTCACCCTATCTGAGTCTGTTGAGAAATCTGAATTTCTAATAATGACTTATTCTGAATCTTCAGTTTTAAAAAAATATATAATGTTTTCATTTAAAAAATGGATGAATTTAGGTTTTACGTCACCATTTTCTGACTAGCTTTGTTTAGTTTGCTCTTCAATTTTTTATTTAGTAAATTATGTTCATCTTTGTCCACCCTGAGATTCTCAGAATGTATTTTCCCATTGTAAAATTATCATCAAACTCGTGAATGGAGATAGAAAATAAAGCCTAAGCTGAAGGTTAGACCTTGTTCCATATTATTTTAAACTCTGTTTGGTTGGCATTTGGAACAGTCAGATGCCTTTCTTTGTTAAAAGTGGAACCCTATTATCTTACTAAATAAGAACAGCAACTTACAAAAAGAAAAGCCTTTCTATAAAAGTAAATACTCTCAACTTTGGAGCTCCTATTATGTTTTTCATTTCAACTAATAAAAGCTTGAAAAACAGAATTCAACCAAGCAGCCGGGCCATGTTTTTCTCATGTAAACTCCAGGTGGACTCGTGGACATGGGCTGGGCATGGGCCTGGAGGGCGCGCTGCTTCATCAGGGCCTTTCCACATTGATTCCACCACATCCACGCTCATCCAGGCTGTCAGGCCCCTATTTCCTGCTGCTGCGTTGAAATAATAAAAGTAAGATGGAGTGTGGAAGGCAGAGAAAATTGGTAGCCTTTTGCAGGGAGACTAAGACAGCTAAATTGTGACACAATTTAAACTGTTCAAATTCGACAAGTTTGATTGAAAAATTGCATGACCTGTGTAGTTAGAGAGCAAAACGGTCACTAGTTTATAGTTTTAAAAAGTCACAGTGTGCTGTTTTTACCGCAGACTGAGAATATTTTTTTATTCGGCCTGTTAGTAATTGTTGCACAAATGCCTGTTTTGCAGTTTGGCGATTTAAATGCTGTGTCTCCTGGAAATCTGGATAAAGGTAAGAATTTAAAATAATGTACATTTTTAAAGACTTTATTTGACTGGGAAATTCTCACAGAGGAAAATGTAGCGTATGTCTCTGGCACTCTTACTCTGTGGAAACGGCATACAGTCCTAGGTGAGTATGGCTGTGATGTCTTTGGAATTCTTCATTATTTCTCCATTTCTGTGCTTTCTTTATGGGAGGTGCCTTAAGTACAAGAAATAAATTTAAACACAGTTACAAGCTCATTTTGGCTTTTTGCCTGAAGTTCGTTAAAAGTTCATTATTTCTGACCATCTGCAGAGTCCTAGAGAAAAGGCATAAAAGTTGCTCTAAATATCTGTATTCAAGGCCTATCAGGCAAGGAAAAAGATTCCTCAGCCTACCTATCGCCACTCCACACTTCTCAATGGAAAAGGAACTCGGAAAGAGCCGTGATGTTTACTGGAGAAGCAAGATCAATCGTGGTGTAGATGGAAAGGATAACACACATTCTCTTTAAATTATAATACCAGCATCACCACTCTAACATGACAATAGGACATATATTCCTGATGAAACTCTTGCTCTACAAAACCACAGAGTGAAAGCAATAGGAATGGGGGGCAGGGGGAGGAGAAGGTTGGAATAGAGCACACAGCAGCAGAAGAAATCCTATAGAAAACCAGCCCAGTTTTTATAAAAATATAAAATTTCTAATAAACAAGCACAGTAGAAAATGTAGACCTTTCTTCAAAAAAACCAAGAAGTGAAGATAGCTTGAGGTTTTAAAGAATTGAGTTCTTTAGTCAGGGACAAAATGCACAAAGACAGGTGAGAATAACACAATTAGCCCTTCCAAGCACAGCCAGAACCAGTGGGGAAACCAAGGCAAGAGGAAGGACTTGGGGAATCTGCACATGAGTGCAGTGCTGTTTTCGGGAGCAGCCTGTCCTCGGGTACTCATTGTCCAGCTTCTGACCCTCCTTGGCGGTGGAAAACATTAATGTGCCAGGGAAGGTCACCTTTGAATCCATGTCACTCCCATGTTGAACTCCTGTCAGTCTCTGGCAATTGTGGCTACATTAATTCCTGTTAGAGGAACATACATAGTAGCAAAGCAGGAAAAGTAGAAAATGATAGCCCCAAAATATTGTTGCTGTACCTATATACTCTATAGGATTAACCAAATAACCCTCAGAAAGATAAATCAATTATGAGATGATACTAATTTGTAATTGAAGAGCCAGAATGGTGCCAGTTGAAGCCCATGTCCAGCATACAGCCATCCTGATAGCACACTGGCACCAAAGCCGTGTAACAAAAATTTTGAGGTTTCATCCCTGGGTGCCCACAGGTGCAGTAGGAGTATGGCTACTTGGCTAAACACTGAATGGCAGCCATTCTTCTTTGTAAAGTGCTAAACCAAGTCTTCAGTCCACTCCAGTAGCACCTGATGTTAATTTTTCTGTACCAAATGTCCATAATCGATAGTAGGTTTCTAGAAAATGTCTTGGAATCTATTGATGCATAAAATGTCTATGGACTTGCCCTTAGGGACTGGAGAAAAGGCTTGCTTTGTAGCCTATCCAGATGATCCCTGTCACCCCTAGTGACCTGCACAAAAGTGGCCTGGAGCACTGGCGTTTGTCCTGTCCATTACCTACAGTCCTGTCCATTTCCACCCAAAATGGGTAGAGAGAAGGGCTTTGCTCATTCCCTCTTCACCTGCCTACCTGCTGGAAGTTTTTATTTTCCTTTCAGTGCTGGGGTTTGTTTATTTTTTTTTGCTATTATAATTTTGACACTATTTCTCAGGCACAGGAAAGAAGGTAGAGAGGGATCTGAGAAGCAATGCAATTTTACCTCACATTCTTGGAATGGCTCTGCTGGTCCCATTCACCCTCAGACATGATGCTTCTTGAGATATAGCTGAACTGTGGCATAATCAGAGCCTAAGGTTTGAATGTGAAAACTTCAAGACTTTTTGTTGGCTCTTTCCACAAAATGAGATATTTAATGTTTTTCCTGATAATGAAAGTAGTATTAGCTCTGTATAAAAATTTCAAGTAATACAGAGAATTAGAAACTATTGAGAGTGAAATTTCAAAGTCACAACCCTAAGAGACTACTGCCATTAAGAATTTTGTGAGTTTCCTTCTTCTTTTGTTTATATATAAACTGCATCAACAAAATGTAAAGTATCATACAAGTGTTTTGATTATACCCTCTTGATAAAGCAAATGTCTACCAAATTTATCCTCCACGCAGCCAACCAGCCCTTCACATGTGCTTGTTCTAACATCTATTATCATCAAGTCCATTTTCCAAAGCAAAAAGGTAACCGTATAAAATAGATGGGCCAAGAGGTCTCTTGCCACACAAGTTCTTCTGTGTTTACGGTTTAAGGATGCATTACAGACGTCATTCCTGTCAGTACATCTAAACTCAGCCTTTTTCATTACATACACCGCTTCTCAGGAGATGCTGCTCCTGGCAGTTGTGCACTGCACCACGGCATGTGGAGGTCCCTGCGACTCCCACTCAGTTCTCTCTGGAACCGTCTTTGCCCCATTGATAACAAGAGAGGAATATTCAGGGCCCATTTATGTTGAGAGCTGCATTCGCAGGGATTGATGTGGTAGGTGTGCCCCAAGTGGTAACACTAGACTCAACCTTAGAAAGAGTTCAACTTAATCTGACCAAAGAGCTACTTGTACATGACAGAAGAGAATAACATGAAGATTTGGTTCTGTTTCTACAAGTCACTAGAAGTCAAAAATATAACAAGTGTAGATATATTTTAATTATCGATGAGATATTTTATGTGATTATGCCTTCATCTTTTTTTGGTAAACAGTAAAACATGTCAAAGGTGAACTAAAAAGATTTTTAAGGCAAAAATTATATTCCCCGCTGTTTAAAAGTGATCACTCCTGAAGAGGCATTCTCTATACTCCTCGGAAGGGAATCTCTCACAGCAGTAAAGCTGTGTGAGCATTTTCTCTCTCTACTTTTGAATTTTAACTGTGCTGCTGGAAAACATTAAATGGTATTCCATTCTAATAATGTTTTAGTTCATATAAAATGTATTAAAATTTGGAGAGACCAGTGACTAATACATTTAATTTCCAGAAATGAATACCAGTATTAACAGTGAATATCAGTGTTGCCAGGAATGGAAATCCATTGTGCATTGTTAATTTGATACTACTGCCTCAGTCTTTATAATTTTTGGCAATAAGAATTAAGAGCCTATTTAATACTGTCATCTATAATATTTGTGCTCACCAAAAGTCTTTACAGCAACCCATGCTTGTACCTGATATATGTCATCACCAGTCTCACCTACACTAATATCAACACATAAAATTTATATCTAAGTGTAGATTTTTGGAGGAGACTGAAGTTTTTCTCCCTCACTCCTTTTTTTAGTTAGCATTTTTCACCTCAATACATTCCCAAAACGCCAACAGTGTATTAAAGTGACTACTTCATGATGACACAACTTATGCCAAACTATTTAATACAAAAACGTTAGGAAATTCCAAAGGTCTTTTTAAATGAGTTATTAAAAGTATTAATCACAAACTAACCCCAAATAAATTACCTTTATCATGTTTGAAAGAATTATGGATGCATTAACTGATCTTTGATGCAAGTGAAATCCACGGAGAGGAAAACCCACAAGCTTTGTCCCCTGAGAAGAGCTGAGAAGTTGCTTTCCTAATGTTCCACATTAACGTGTTTCTAAGCACGAGTTGATTGCCATTTTCCAGTGTGTCTTTTGGTAATAGTCGTGGCATTATTTGTTTGTGCAGATGAAGGCAGTGAAGTGGAAAGTGAAATGGATGAAGAACTAGATGACTCTTCAGAACCTCAAGCCAAGCGAGAGAAAACGGAGCTGACCCCGGCGTTTCCAGTGGGTTGTCTGCAGCCTGTTCTCGAGAGCAGCGTGCAGCCCAGCCTCCTGAATCCCATCCACAGCGAGCACATCGTCACAAGTACTCAGACTATCAGACAGTGCAGCGCGACAGGCAACACTTACACTGCGGTCTAAAGAATATTAAAGCCTATTTTTCCAGCTAACATTAACCCTGTTGATATTGGGCTTAAGTTGAGAAATTAATAAGCCTGAAGGTCGACTGTTGTCAAATTCTATCTGTGCTGAACATTACCTTTTTGGAGTTGTGAAATGGAATGGGTGTATGTATTTTGCCAGGTCTTTTTTTTTTTTTTAAACGTAAACAAATTATTTGCCTCTTAATAATAAGAGTTTTTTTTCCTTAGTTTTGGGTGTCAAGAAGGATTTTTACAACACTTAATATTTTTTTTCTTATAATTAAAAGTAATTTACATTTTTGTAGCTGAAAATATTTTATTGTTGGTTGTTAGTCTTGGTGTATGATTTCATGTGTGAGTTTTTAATTAGATGCACTTCTGTGAAATATCAAAAGAAATGCATTTTTTTATTTACACTGGAGGCATGCCCATTTGGCAGCAGATGCATCAAATTTGCTTTTGAAAGGTGCTTTTCATTGGGCCGAACCACAAGACACTATTTTGATAGCATTTTGGAGTATGGAGAAAGAATACAGAGCATTTTTATGATAGTGCTAGAGGGTTGGGAAGGTCATCTATATTTCTCTGGAGAAAAATTGAGCTGTGCATTTATCAGTTCAGAGTAAATGACAGAATTGCCAGAGATTATGCTAATATGTACATAATTTGTGTACATAATGATTAAATCATGTTAATGCAAGCTTCTGTTAAACATTGAATTTTAACTGTTATTTGCATACCAATTCCTCTGTTTAATGACTACTGATTCTGTATTTGGGACCACTGCACAGATGCGTTCTGCTGTTGAGTGGGGCTGTTATAGTTAGAGACTGAAGCTGAAAATGACTTGACTTTTTTTTTTTAAGTGTACATGCTACTTATGCTGAGCTGGACATACAGGAAACCATTCCATTTGGATGACTTTCTTTTATTCCAGGTCTTTTTCCTAATAGTAGTTCAATATGCTGCTATTATAAAAGAAAATTTATAGAATGCAAGGAATGTAGCAACCTGAATATCGTTCTTTCGTTCAGAAATATTTCCTGGTTTCTAAAGTATGTGGATTTAAATTTTAAACAGAACCTAAAGGCAGTGTAACTGGCACGCCATACTGTTGCTTATCTCCGATTCTGTAGGATTTGGATAGGTGGCTTGATGGACCAGTGCCGCTGAAGAATGTACATCAGGGATCATCGTACCTCGGCTATAACATGGTGCCTTAAAACAGAACTGAAGCTAAGGTTTAGTAAGGCTTATTTTGTTCCTGTAAATTCCTCTTCAGTCCATTTGACAAGCTGTGCCTGTCATTGTCAGATTCCCGAAGTAAGGACAGGTTACATGTTCTTCAAAGGAAATTTAGGGCAAACAAAGCAAAACAAAAAGACGAAAAAATCAGTTTCCCTCTTTGAGTGACCACGAACCTATTTTTTGTTCTTAGAGCTGAGTAATACTTGATTATAAGTTAGATTGCTTAAGGGTATGGAGTAGCAGGCTAGTTTTAATCACCAACTTGTTACATAAAACATATATATGTTAGACCATTCTTATCTAGTTATAATTTAAGAAAGTTAAAATAAGTAGGTACTTATCGAAGTGCATCTTTTCAGTCTCTGTGTTTGTCTCTGTGTCTTGGTGTCTGTGTCCACATGCACACACGAGTGCCCACGGGCGGAGTCAGCTACCACAGCAGAAGGTGAGATCCAGGAGTGGATACACCATCCCCATGTTAATTTACATGAAGAGCCAAGGTTCTTTTAAGCACTCAAATTATTAACAACAAAAAAAACAGGCACATCCATTCATTCAATTCGTTCTTAAAAAGCTAATAAGCAAAAATAAGTACATAAAGCCAAAAAAAAAGGGAAAGCACAAAATTATTTACAGATTATTAATGAGACCTATATGAAATTCAAGATGTTTATCTTTCCAGTTTTATTGGGGTGAGGGCGGGGGGTGGAAAGAAGAGGGTGAGCCAATCTGTAAAGTTAAAACTACCAAATGGCTTATTGGGTAATACGCAGTCTATTTCAACTGTTGTTGCTCGATTGCCTTAGACTACTCAGATAACTGAGGTCAACAGGTTTCTTCAGTAAACATTAAATGCATTAGATGTAATTTTTTTAATTGATTCAAATTTTGTATTATACAGCTCATACTAGTATATTCAAAAGTCTTTTGCTGGCTTATCGCCTTTATCTAAATATCATTTAAATTATCACCTCCCTTTTCCTCCCAAAAAGGCAATGAATTTGAACCATCACACACACACACACACACACACACACACACACACACACACACACACACACACAGGCAAACCAGCAAGCAAGACCCCTTAAGTTGCAAAGACCATGTATCTACTTCATTGTGCATTAGGAAACATGGACAGGTACATTTAAATCAAAAAACTGAAAAGGAAAAAACCCCACACTCTTTGTTTTGACCCTCCTTGATTTTTCACTTTCCTAACCCTTTCCACCACACCCAGAAGTATGCTATATTTGTATTGGACCAAATGTATTTACCGGTATCATCTTGCTTATTGAACAATTTTAAATGTATTTATTATAATTGTTTCCTTTAATTTAGTGTTGGATATATTTGTTTTGTTAGAGGAATCTGATAATAATGGGCATATTTAGATTAATGAAAATTAGAGACTGGGGATCCTCCAAGGTTCAACATTTCTTCTAATTGTTCATGGTTTGTTCTAAATTTAGACAGATCAGGAATTAATATTACTATATTTCAACTTGACTCACTAAAAATATTCTGATCTCCTTTATGAATACAGTTAGGAACATAAAATTCTTTGTGACAAGTATAGATAGTTCTGACCCATAGACAAATATCTATGATCTATGCTACTTCCTGTTATTTGAAATCCACAGTAAGACACATACACACATATACAGTCACAAACAAAAATCTTAACAATTTTGAACCTGAATTGTGAAATGTTTTACAAAATAAAAACATCATAATTTATACCTTTGAGCAAATTGGAGCAACCACATTTATTGCATTTATTAAACATTTTATTTCCATTTTTCAGTCATTGAAACTGACTTTTAAAAATAACATTAGACACCAATACAATAGGTTTATTGACAAGTGACCAGGACAAATTTTAAGAACTTAATGTTTCATAGCATTATAATCAAACACTAGTCCTGAAAAATATCTATATAGACCAAGTGATAAACTTTCAGTGAGGAAAAATGTGAAGAAGGTATGTTGGCTATTTTTAAGTTTCAGAAAAAGTATTTCCATGTAATAGGATCAAGTATCAATAGTATAGTTTGATCTTCGTGTATTAGTATACATCTCCAAAATATTTACGTGCCTACAGCCCATGAACAAGAGGCTGAAATGGGTGAACTGTCCACTTGGACCCAGTTTAAAAACAATTTTTGGATATTAAGTGGCTGGTCACTTTTTCAGGATTTTCATCCAAACTATGTTTAGACTGACTGTATAAGTCTTGCTGCCTTTTCAGAAATCTGCTTTCCTTTTTGTGCTTTTTCTTGTACTGTATAGCACGGTTCATGCACCTCTCTTTAGATGGTGTACTTTAAAAACAAAAATAAATTTTAGAAAATGGTTTTAACACTGCATAACTAAAATTAGTAGTGTGCAACGTTGACTGCCTTCGATGTGTAGTAGACGAGTGAAAATGAACATGTTCTTGTAGAATGCTGTCAAAATCATTCAGGAATGAACACGGTTTCATTACTGTAATCATGAACCTTTTTACATGAATGCACTTTCTAGAAGTGCTAAATGTGATGCATTTTCAAAGCTTAAAAAATCCTTCAGATGATATATTTGAGATGTCTAAAATAATGCTGTGCTTGAAACATTTGTGTAAAAGAAAAAAAGATGTGTGTCACTGTGATGCTGGTCCTCCCTGTGTGGACAGAAGTAGAAAGTAAAAAAACTTTGGCAAGTCACCTTTGTGTACAAGTTGAGGCAGTGGTTATATAAAACAAATTGACCTTTATGATGGCCTCCCTTCCCCCAAATTCTTGGTGAGACAGTAACAACCACCAAAAAATCAAAATCAAACCCTGTGATTTGTATGAATCACATAGGACATGGGGGAGAGAGGTTGACATGCAGTGAAAATTGGGCTTGTCACTAGATCAGATCAACCTCCATGTATATGGTTAGAACAGATCAATTAATGGAACCCTAGTATTTCTGCAAGTTTGATTATTTTAAAAAAATAACTGGAATAGAAGCATTAATTCAGTGCTTAGTTCTAGTGTTAGAAACCCCTTTGGTGTAATGCCTTGTATTAACCCTTTGAGCATTGTAATATATACAATGGGGGACAAAAGCCTTTCAGATCCTTTATTTAGACTTAGACCGGTAAAATATACTCTATATCCAAATGTCTAATTATGCTGGTTTTTTTAAAGGGGGGGTAGGAAGAGAAAGTGTTTTTACGCCGAACACTTGCATTTTATATACGACTCTTAATTTTCTTCAAGAGGGCTTGATATATTTATTCCCAAATATTCACTGCCATCTAAGTAAGTGTACTGTTTACAAAAAAAAAAAAGAATCAACTTTTCTAGTATCACAGCATGACTCTAGAAAAGGACAACCACACATGGGCCCGTGGACCCATGTCAGACTGAGTTCTGCACATTGAAAGTACCTAGATTGCCTTTAAAAGGTATGATAAAGAAAGGGTTACATTTCCCCCCAAAACAAAACAAAAGATCTCATTTATTTAGCTTTAGAAAGTACAATTGTAAGTGAAGCCTTAGGAAGAAACGAGTTCGAGTAGCTAAAGGAAAGCTGAACTCTTTGGGGGCAGGTAAGCTGTTTGGAGTTAGATCTCTCATAACACATTGTTTGGGAATTTCATACAGGGCATAATTTAATCTATGCTCCAAAACTTTAATACTTTGTCAAAAAAAATTATATAGAGATAGAATGGAGAGCAAAAGCACTTGATTCGAGCTCATCTGATGCTATGACTACTGCTTCTGATACCTGGAAACGCCAGTCTGCTCACACAATTGCTGACTCTGTTCACGGGCGCTCTGCGTGCACTGGACTCCTTTGTCCCCTGCCTGATGGAACACGAGAGCAGTGTCGTCCGCAGATGTGCTTGCGCTGCCCTGGCCGGGCACAGATAAAACCGTTAACCTATTCCAATGCCTGGTGAAAGGACATCCATAGCCTAGTGCAAGTTTGCCGTAAACGTTGCTTTTTAGGCAGTTTAGGAGGTCAAACCATGCAAATTACTCATGTGTTAACATGCAATACTCAAAGGGTTTTAATTTAACTCTCTTCTTTTGAATTCTTCATGATGATTTACTGTAAATGCTTCTCAGTTTGCATGCTCTGATCATTGCTGCTAGTGATTTACGTGCCAGTAGACCTGAGTTTAGTTTACCAATTTTACTTAAATAGTAAAAGCCACTTACAAAGTGACTGCCTAGGATTTTTTTTTCTTTTGTTTGAAGTAATTGGTAATATGTCATTTAAAAAAATGTGTTTTGTCTCTTCTTTTATTGGTTCTGGTATTTGATTCTTTTTTTTCCCTCTTTCCTTTGTTTTTTAAATAAATTATGATGTTGGGATTGGAAGCCCTGAGTAATGAAATCTTTGGTAAGAATTGTTTATGTAGCTCAATAATGAGGACAACAAATCTTTGTTAGAAGAATTATGATTCTGGGGAGGAAAGAAAAAATAAAAACCCCCATTGACTGTTGATGACCAAGTAAATTTTTCCTTCAATGAATTAATAGTTTTGAACAAATGATTGCCTTGTTTTAACCTGCTAAACACAATTTTAAATGACCCAATAAAGGAGGTATTGAATTTTATGCATTTAAAAAGCATCTTTTGTACCAAAGCAAATTTTTTTCTCTACTCATCTGCATCATCAATTGGGACCTATGGTGGTGACCAATGTGTTGGTTACAGAAACTTCAAGTGAGTGCCTTGAGAAAACTGGGAAATTTGTGCCTGGGGTGGTAAACATTTAATTAGGTTCATTGTAGTGCTTACCAATCAGTAATTCTACTATCACTCAGGGCTTTCGTACCTTCTAGGTAAAACTCCTTTCATTGCGTTTTTTTAAAATACTGTGGTTTTTTTTTAAGTGCCATCATTTAAATTTCACTTAGTAAGTGGCAGATTTCATTATTCAGTCCCACAAGCACAGAAAACATAGTAACACTAGGAGATATTGAACATTTATTTTACAATCGACTGAATATATTATGTAAATGAGGTAAGCAACTTTTGTAGAGATTGTATGTGTGAGATAATGTAATGTTCTTTTCCAGTTTTTGGACTACAGTTGAATAAACTTTTTAATTATTTAAAAAACATCTTTACCGAATAACATGTGATGGTTTTTTGTATAATGTATTTGATTTTGTAAATACGTATTTCCTGATGTGATTTTTGTGAGAAATGCTAAATCTTTTAGTATATCATGTCCTCTCAAGATTGGCAGGAGCTAAATAATAGTTTGTGGGCGATTTGTATTGTGTACTGTATAATAACTGGGGAACTTTTATAATTATAAAAATATATATTAACTTTTAGTGTGTTGTTTAAACAAATGACTGGAACATACTAAAGATATTAGTAGGATTTTTCTGAATATTTCAGACTTGAACTCAGGCTAGCTTTCTTGTGTTTTTCAAAACAAAATGGTGTCTTGTCTTTTAAAATCAATAAATTTGTTTCCTTGTTACAAATACATTTGAAATGGCTTGATTCCCCCCCCCCCCCCCTTAACTCATTGCCAGGGAACTTAAATTGCACTGCCTCATGTAGAGGGTGGTCTCTGTGTTGTTCACTAGCTTAGAAAAGAAATTAAGTTGTTTTCCTTTTTTGTGTCAAATGAAATTGGCAATATTTACACATGAACAGCATAAAAAGAGAAAACAAAATTATAAGCCCAGCAGGGTACTAATCTTACCCTCACAGAAAATTAGTGATTGAGTGCTATTTAATTTCAGAAGCTGTCATCATTTCCATTGTAAATCCAGATTTTTGGATGTTCATAATGTGTTTGTTTTGTGTCACTTCATATTAATATTTGGCACCCAAGTTTCTTGCTTAGGTTGCAACAGCTTATTAAAATTCGTTCTAATGCACTTAATATTATCTGCTCCCACTTTTTCCCTTCTTTGAATTATATAGTTACATACAGGAAAATTTGCTGCTTTTAGTGTACCTTTCTGTGATTTTTGACAAACACACAGTATATAAGGCCTCCTCCTAGAATATGGAATAGCCCATTCATATGGGGTTTCTTTAAATGAGAGAAATTCCAGACAGAAAATATCCTTAAAAGGAATGTAGACAGAATTATAACCAATATCAAGTACAATACTATGCTACAAAGAAAATAAGTAGCCAATTTGGACACTTACGTTGTAGCCATCGCCACTTGTGAGATATTTGAAACTTTTTGTACAAAAACAATAGAGTTCCTGGCTCTGGTCAGGTTGCTCAATTGGTTGCAGCCTTGTCCCATACACCAAAAGGTTGCAGGTTCGAGTCTAGTCAGGGCATGTACGTAGATTGCGGATTTGATTGGGGTGGAGCGCCAAGGCGTATGTGGGAATTGATGTTTCTCTTTCACATCGATGTTTCTCTCCGTTTCTCTAAATATATCTTGGGGTGAAGATTACAAAAAAAATAGTTTCTGGTTTCTAACCTTATTTTTATACTTGGTTTCTCTTGGAAATCTGAGGTGTTTTAAATATATCTTATAATTAGTGTGTTGTCTTCTTGGTTACAATATTCTTCCTATCATAGATTCTTAATATTAGTTTTTTCTCCCTTGGAACTAGGACATTTCAAGACTTGACCACTGCCTAGGAAATGTAGCTAGTTTTCATTAACTGATCCAATTCAGTCCAAATACTTTTCATTATAGTCTAAAAGAAATGCATGTAGAAATTTGTCATTCAGCGGAGGCACAGATTGTGTGTGTGGTCGTATGGCTGCCATATTGCTGAAGAGAATGTCCTTGAAAACCAGGGAGCAGGAGGGCTCTCTGGTCTGACCCTGGTCTGCTGCACATTGGAACCATGTCTGGGCCAGGAGGAGGGACCTGCTTCCCCTGCCGGGCTGGTGGCAAGCAGAGTCTTTGGGCTGAGGGCCCCTAGACATCATCGCTTCTCCATGCTGCTGAGGCCTGTGGTGCACCAGTTTATTGCTGGCTCTGAGACTGGCAAATATCCCAGGCATGACTGGGTACATGGGAAGTTGTGTCTGAGTCCAAATATATTAGTAATTCAAGTAAACATAAATGTATGTGTTAAATGAGATGCCTGCCCCTTGGGCCAATGCTTTGATAGGAGCAAATGAGCCAAGTCTGGGCACCATCAGCAGCCCAGGCCTCGGTCCGGGAGCCTTTGGGAACCCTGAAGGCCTATCTGTTTTCAGGATGGCAGCCCCGTTGGTTTTTAAATGTTTTAGATGTTTTGGGGACTCATCTCTCAGATGAAGGTCTTGAAAATTAGGTGCTTGATTCTATTATATTCACCAGTTTATTCTGTTCATCAGATTTTTTATTCACTTAGTTTTTAGATTCACTTGTTGATAGATATGTATTTGTTGTTCATAATTTTTATCTTTACCTTTTTCTTCTTCTTCTTCCTCTTCTTAAAGGATACCTTTCAGCATTTCATATAATACTGGTTTGGTGG